ACATGAACTCTAAAAGTATCAGAGAAGCCTATATCCTAAACATATGTAAGATATAGATCCCACCCAATAAGTCCTTTCCCCAGAGTTCCAAGGTTTAATATATCCCCTTATATCCCCTCTCACCCCCGTACTTTAGATACTTTAGATACTTTAGATACTTGAACCAATAACAATCCCATAAAGTTCTATGGCGCAGTCCCAGCCAATTATATGAACTGCACCCTGCACAGTGGTGAATACGGATATGCACCCCCCAACCTTACAGCCAAGACATCCAAGACATCCAGGATCCTATAATACCCAAGATAAGACCCTGCTCTCGGTCCACTGTGAGCAATTCAGTGCCCAAACAAAGGCAGCCAGTTAGAGAAGGGAATAGGTTATTTGTAATGTTGACAGGTATGTATTGGGAAAGTAAAATATGTATGCAGATTCCCCGCATTTATCTCCTGGAGAATCAGCCTTGGCGACCTTTTTTTTTTTTTTTTTGCTTTTTTTCGGCGTATTGGATGTGCATGGGGCTTCTGCGGGGATGGGCTGCTGATGTGCTTGACAAGGGTACTTCTGCATGATTGGTAGGATTGTATGCTAGGCGGATGAGAAGGGTTATTATTGGACTGGAGTTTGGGTTTGAGCTTCTTTTTTTGGATTTCTGTTTTAGGTGTTTCTTATATTGGAATAAGTATGGAATAGTTATGGAATAGTTATGCCTATGGGTGTGTATATGATAAGAGTATAATTTAGGGTTGCACGTTTTTATCTTTGCACGTTATCATCGTTTTAATACCATACATTTGAGCTATTGGATCCCTGCATGTGATGCTGAATATCTTTAGGGTACGTGGAAATGCCGATGTTCGGAATATACCATCTGTATATATGTTGAAAACCAAATCTAACTATAGACGTCCAGGGATTTAAACTGACGCAATTGTCTGTTAACCTAGGCGCGTAACATGAAACGGCTTTCAAGGAGGTACACAGTAAGCACATCATCCCGAGGTCCGCCGGAGACCGGAGGGCAAGGCACCCAACTGTCCTCCGTATACGGAGCATCAAGCTTATCTTATAGCAATATAGCAATATAGCACAGCTATCTGCGGCTGAGAATCCCAAAAAAAAAAAAAAAAAAGAGATAGTCGGCGCCTAAACAGAGACAAGTCTAGACCAAAACTAGTCGAATAGATTCCCCACACTCTGAGAAACATCCCAGAAACAATTACCCTGAAAATGTTTCACGTAGCGCCAGCACTACGTACAAAGTCCAGAATCAGTAACTATAGCCAAATCGAGCTCAGATCCGGAACTAACGTCGATCTCGATTGTTCTCTAATGACTATCTGTTACGCCATAATCAAGATTTTAGTTGAAACAGTGGAGAATAAACAATGAGGTAATTCGCGGCTTCTGCCGTCTGATCGACTACACCGTGCTCTTTTGGGTGGCTCGGAGGACTTTTCCCTGTATTTTAGTTCAATTAGTGCTATTAGTCCCGTTTAGTGTCAAAATATTGTTAAGTCAGGGCTAGAAGAGGGCTCGTGTGGTATGTCACTGGTCTGGAACGTTTGAATTGCTTTCTCTTCCAAATCAAAAACAAAAGATCATCCCGTGCGGATCGGCTTGGATACTTTTTATCTTTCCCTTACGACTGGCTCGTTTATTCTCGGCAATTCCTGATTTAGTCTGCACATCATTGAGAGAGCTAAAAGAGGGTGGAAGGTTTCAGGGGTAGATCCGTGTTGCTTGGTTTTTGTTTTCTCCTTGCTTGATTCGTTTGGTTCACTTTGCTTTTACTACAATGCAGCTATATTGCATCAAATACGTAATATAATTATCGGTATACAGATCGGCTGAACCGAGATATAGAACATTGTGAACAGCAAACTAGTTAGGGTGCTATAGCATTATCGTCAAGGATCGTGCAGACACTAATGTAGACGTGCAGTTAATAACCATATCCCCTCATTCTGGTCAGTCACAAAAAAAAAAAAAACCAGACCATACTATAAACATCCCGACCTTGAATCCGCACCGTCGAAACCGGAATGCGCCAAATACCCCATCCCCAGAAAAGATGAAAAAAGGCGCAAAGGAAGGGGAAAAATAAAAGCCTCACCCCCTTCCCACTAGCAAAATAATTCCCCGCCAGGACTAGGACCTACAGTAGCGTGGGAAATGTACCCCAAGAAGAAAAAAAAAAAAGAGAAGAGTCACATCCACTCGCTAAATTGTTCTAGACGCCTTTCCGTAGACAATGCCACAAACGCGGCCACGGTAAGGGCGTATCATGATCCCGTGCGCCGATGTGGGGGTGTTTTTCCCGCGGGCATTGGGGAAAATGGTGGATCTTTTTTCCTTTCTGCTTTTTCCCTTGGCCTGGGGATATTGGGGGTTTGGGGGTTTGGGAGGCTTAGCGACCTTGGGGGTGGCTTTGGGGGGGGGGGGGACACTATCCTTATACGGGCTGGCGTCGCTTCGATGCGGTCTCCGGTACTATCCTTGTCCCTAGATATACGGGCTTCGATTCGCAGGGGCTCCGGGCCTAACTTGGTCTTTGTTAGACGCGTACGTAGTTTGCGATTGTTTGTTTTTTTTTTTTGGATTGTTATCGTGTCGAGGCGTTATTGGGGTTGGCATGCGTTTTGCTTTTGCTGCATTGCATATACCTAAGTCGGGTTACCTATCTATCTGCATGGTGTACTCCGTATATGTTCTCTTTTTCTATAGCACAACATATATGCCATTTGACAGTTCTAACGGTCTGTGCCCTTAAATGCAGCAAAATTGACTTTTTTTGCTATCTGACCGTCGATGTTGCGATAATACTCCGTGTTGTCAGGGGACCTTGATAATGGCGAATATATAAGGATTTATTCGCCTGCCAATGAGCATCTATTAAAATAACAAGTAAACATGGCGTATATACCTTCCTCTCAAATCCAAGCGATAAGCGAACCAAGCTTCCCAGAGCCATGTTCACCAGTAACCTTATCCTGGCCCAGAGCCCTATGGACTCAAAGATCTATGACAACCATGTCTGAATCATGTCAACGGAGTACTCCGATAACAGTCAACAGTTTAAAGAATCTTCTTATCGTTACTATGGTAGAAGATGTGGATCTATACCGGAGGTGCCTGAAGCCTCCGGCCAGATCTCTCCAGTCTTGGCTCTCGGTTTCAATCGGCAGTATCATCCACTTTTATATATAAGTATGAGCCCATTATTTCGGCCGAACATATCCTTATAAGCGCGTAAATATATCAATGAGGGTTATCTTGGCATGAAAATATCTAGAATGGGCAGACTCGGCCCCGGGAAACGTAAATCATTGAGTGGCGACATCCGGATCTACGAAAAAAAAACTCTGATTCCACGGGTGACTGGGTGTGGAACTTGAGTCCGTTCAGGGGTGGTCAGATCATTTTCTTATTTTTTCTTTTCATTTACGGATGTGGCGATCGGGTGGATTGAAAGTTGCTTCGATGCGCGTTTCTAGAATTCTAGAAGGTCTGGGCAGTTCCGCGTCCGGTCACACTGAATCCTTTGGATATAGTCTATAAGCGTGTATATTTTTTTTTATAGTAGCATTTAAACTTGAAAACTCTGTCTATTTACTCGGAGTACTCCGATTCTATTACATTTGCCTCCACCAAATGGCTTCTTCCATATCCCTGTGAATACCACATACGCGTCCAGAGAAAGAAAAGCCTGTGTGACATTCCAGTTGTACAGATGTTGAGAAATGATCGGCAGGGCCAAATTGGCATTGAATACAAGCCCTAACTAGTGCAAGATTGTATGTTTAACTTTCCAAGATTATATCTAACCTTGGAAATATATCAAAGTGACAGGGGAGGTTTTAGATGACGTGCAAGACAGTACACTCGACGCAAGGGAGTGAATGCCGTGACACGCCCTTATCGTGTATTTTATCGGGTCTTTACAATACACAGAACCGTGGGTCGAGGATTGACATTCCGGTCTCGGATGGCGTGCTAGCGGCCGGGAGATAAGAGGCTATCGTGAATTAGGAAGTAGATACGGAGTATAGGAATTGGATGTTAAGAAATAGAATAGTATAGACATTGTTAGTAGAAGAAATGCATCTCGAAGAGTTCCTCGTGTTCGGTGGATCTCAGGGGAATGAAAATTCAAAGTCGCCACGTTGGGCGCATTGGTCGTTTTTTTTTCCAGAACCCGTGGAAGCTTACACGTATGACTTCTGGAAGGATTGTGGAGTGATCAAAACAAGGATAGGCAGGGCTGGATACACATGTTACATAATACCAACTTGAAGTGAATCTCCCAAGGTTGTTAGAAGAGATTCATTTTAGTCTCGACAGCTATGGAGTACATTTCTCAAGGTATCCCTTGCAGATCGTAGGCGCTTGTTCAAACGTGAGAGTTCAGCGTGTTGCCACTTTAAGACAAAAGTTAAAACCAATTAGAAAATTCCATGAAAAAAAAAAAGAATCAAAAAAATCCGAATGAAGAAATAGAAAAGAGAAAATAAGAAAAATGGAGAAAAATAGAAAAAGGAAAAAAGAAAAAAACAAAAAAACAATTATGACATCTTATCGAAAGAAGAGTCCACTTGGGCGCAGAAACTAGTTTAGCGTCACCACCTGGATCCACCATGGTGATCCACTTCAGTCTACTGAGGTGCCCCCCCCCCGTAACGATTACCCAAGTATCGTCATGAATCATTCCAGAATCTTTGCCCTTTTTATTCTTCTTCTTGGATAGATTTCCCACGTCTTTCCCTCACTTAACTTTTTTTATACCCACTATAACTCTACTCTACCATACCTGACCTCTTACTACCCTTACTACCCTTACTATCCTTGCTACTCTTGCTACCCTTACTACCGCTGCCAATCCTATATGCCTGTATCCCGATAACCCGCCGCTCTTTAAACAAGCTGGAGCCTCGTCCCACACGCAGGGGACGTCCGGTGAGAAAAAGCCGATTAAGGGTCCCCGACACACACTATACGCTATGCTTAAAAAGAAGACGTTGGCGCCGTCCCTCTTCTTCCGGAACCACACTCCTACCGCAACCCCCGAATTGTCCCCCACCTCCTCAGACAGCGACTCCGAAGAGGATATGGAATCATCTGGCTCCCGGCCGGTCAGCCTGGCTATCTCGTCGGGGGCCTTCTCTATGCGTCCGACGCTCGACGAGGTGCTGGCCAACATTGCTCCGCCTCCATACACATTGAGCGCCTTCATGGCCTACCTCTCCCAGAATCACTGTCTCGAAACCTTGGAATTCACCATGGAGGCCAATCGATACCGGGATTCCTACTACGCACTGGCTGAACGACTCGGACACGCCGCTATGGAATCGGAATGCCCCGAGACTCAGCACCTACGGATGCTTTGGAAACGCCTATTGGCTGCCTACATCTTCCCGGGATCGCCCCGCGAGATCAACCTGTCGAGCGAAGTCCGAGACGCACTCCTGCAGTACAAGAACGTGTCCGCACCCCCGTACCGGAGACGTTAGATTCCGCCGTGAAGCGCATCCACGACTTGATGGAGGAATCCATCTTCCTCCCTTTCGTCAACAGCCACACCACCTCCCCTTCCATGGGACCCTCGGAACCTTTCATGGGACCCGACGATTTCATGAGTCTCTCATCGACGAGCCTGGACGAACACCCAATGAAAAGGGTGCGGTCGCGCGTGTCGAAGCGTATCTCCCCGCAGTCGTCTACCAAGGATCTTCCCGCAACGGGTCACAGCCGCTCAACCATGTCCCTCGGCGCCGTGCATGCCATCGGGAAACGCACTTCCGGCGCACTTCTCAGCACTAGCGGCGAGTCGACTTACCTCTCTCTGACCGACGACTCTTCCTCTCCGCAGTCCAGCCCCACCGCCGAAGAGCCCATGACGCCACCCACCACCCCGCCTGCCAGCGAGCCGCATCTTCCCATCCACAGCCCCAGAATTCGCACCGAGAACCCTTGGAAGAAGATGGGTATGAAGCTTGGCTTTAAGAAGCGTTCCACTGGAGGCAGCAATGGTGGTCCTCGCGATCCCAAGGTTCTTGGTCTTGACGACTAATTGTCTTCTCTTTCCTCGACTCTTGTCGACATATACAAAACCTACAAAACATACTTGACGACAACTACGACCCCCGCAACGATACCTCTCATCTCAACACACCTTGCATGAGATACCTGCATCCCACTTCATTCTAGCCTTTGTTGAGCGTTTATACTGGCGGTGTATGAGAGCATGATGCATTGAAAGCATATGAAACCGGCGTTCTATTTCTTTTTATTTTTTATTTTTGATGTCTCCGGCTGAGCATCTTCTTCACTTGTCATTTTTTTCTTATTGTTTTGCAGCGCATGGCATCACGGGAAAAGCAATCCCTTATACATCATATCATGTTCTCATATAGATTGGATAGAGGATCTGTTGGCTTTACAGGTCCTCTGGACACGCGGCGTTTTTGTCGAGACATTGTCTTGGTCTCCTGGGATTTCATTATTCGGAATCAATAGACTTGATACCCCTTCTTTCACATTACTTCACTAGTACATCGTAAATACAAGCCGTTAGTGTCTTGAGTCTTGAATCCTCTACGCAGACCTGCATAGACCATGCATTCGACCGTTAGGGTAATTCAAAACCCAACACTGAAACCAAGACCTTGTTTAACATTCCCAACATGTCTCAGTTCAATGAAATCATCAGATCAGGCATAGTATTCTCAATCCTAAAATCAATTGTATAGACTTTCTTGATCCTGGTCACACATGTCGGACCACACTCAAGACATGTCGGAGAGCCCGGGGAGACGTATAGACTTCCAAATTGTTGTACAGATGCACACGTAACCCCCGTTCGCAAACCATTCGATGAATGTTAATATCATGTCCGGCATTCGGATGGGTTATTGATGTGACTTTGTTTACACTTCCTACATGTAGCCCTGGAGTTATAGGATAGGTTCGGATAAGTGGAAGTCAAAGGTTATACATAGAAAAGTCTTAAAACACAAAGTATGCTTTTGTTTCCGCCCTTTTCTGCTGTCTACCTGGGGAGAAAATATATTCAAAGACATCTGAGACTACGAAAAAGACTACCAAAAAAACTACCAAAAAGACATCACAAGGCCGCATACGCGGCCCTTTACTCTTGTAAAAGGTAACCCCAAAAGTCAACAATAGAGGAAGTATAAGATGTAAATATCATATATCAATCCTCCTCCCACCCCTCGTCTCCAAAGCAGCAATATCAACATCCCACCCAACACCCCTCAACTCAATCAAATATCTCTCAAACCTCGCCTCACTATTCAACAAAGCAAGCGTCCCCTCAACGACAGCAAGAACAACATCAACAGAAGAACCAATCGTAATCCTCCCCAAAACCCTCGCTGCCAATAAAGCATGAACCCACCCCTTCAACTGGTGCCCAACACCACAACCCCGTTTCAGAAGAATCGATGCATCCCATTTAACATCACCGCCGGTTTCATTCGGGACCAGAAACAAGATATACAATTCATCCGAGAAAACAGTCGCAAGACGCTGGAGCGGGAGGGTATGTTTGAATGATTTACTAGACACGGAACCGAGGAACGTAGAAATCGACACGCCTATCTGTGCAGATCCGAGATGGTGGGTTATTATATCTGTGTCTGAATGCTGTGTCCACTGTAACGCGCCGTCTCGGTGGAAGATACGTTCGTGTTTTGATACCTGTGCCGGAGTGAGGATTGTCCATTTGGGTTTGGTGGATGTATGAGTAGGGGCAGGGGTGATATCGAGATCGAGTGCTAGTGCTAGACTCTTGTCTGAGTCTAGGAGGGCTGAGAAGGCGATGTTTGCGCGTTGGCGGTTTAGACTTGTCATTTGGACGGCGCGGACGGCCGCATAGTTCATGCTTAGATGGAGGGATAGGAGGAGGAGAAGGAGGAGCCAGGTTGTGGTGAAGCTGGTTATGTGGGAGATTACTACGGATCCGACCTGGGGTTTGTGGTTAGTTCGTTCTTGATAGAGGGGTGGGATGGGCCTACCAGCATGCCGAAAAGAGAAATGACGGTCTCCTGAGATGAGTCTTTCTATACAACGAAATGTAGGACGTTAGCTCTGCCTCAATTTCCAAAGACGGTGCATAGCGGGATTCGAGATTGAAACATACGGCATTAAGTTCCGCCAGATTCCCCCATTTAGCAAAATGAGCACTCAAGCTCGCCTTCGAGCTACCACCGGCTACGCCACAGAGAGCCCGGAGGACACCGGCAGTGCTGAGGATAATTACCCTCGGCGGTCCGGCGGGAACACCCGGCGAGAGACAGTCGAGGATCATGGCGATATCGTTAAAGACGTCAGCTGCTAGTCGGTAGGTTTTGCATTCTGGCTCGAGGGCTGTGCCGACGCGGTGGGCGAAGCAGATCGTTGCAATGCGGCCTGATATATCTTGCAGGATGTGTAAGAGCAGTGCAGATGTTGGAGAGGCGTTGGCGTTGCCGACGCCGACTCCTGTATATTGGATTGGGTGTTAGCTGCTTTCCTCGTGGTTTGAGTTTACTCAATGGTTGGGGTGGTGGGATATGGACCTTGGAGGACGGCTCTGGAGGAGAGGAGGCCTGCTATTGAGCTGCAGAAGGCTTGGAGGGAGTCCTGTTTGCGGTGGATTGTTGGGTCAGATCTGTGTTCTTGGTGTATGTTTGATATTGCTTTCGATATGGTAGAGCAAGATAGTTTAAGCCGTGAGGTTTCTATCTCTGGCAGGGGATTGAATGCTCACAAAGATTTGATATCTGTATTGACATTAGCATTTTTCGTAGATCAGGGACATTGCATGCATTTCAACAGTCTCCTGTCTGTACTCACGGGAGATAGTCATCGCTGACACTTAGGGGGTACCCAGAAGGAAGAAAAACATCACTCAGCGAGCTGACTAGGAGCTTGCCTGACCATGAGGTAGATGAAGAGGAGCTCTGTTATACTAGGTTAGTGAAGATATAACGTTGAGGTATTGATATAACGTTGTAAGGCTTTCTGAATCATGCAATGTCATTCATATTTGAACCAACATATCATTCGTAGTTGAAACAATTCATATGTTAAATGCAAGACAGAGTATCTGTATCCAGAAAACAGATTCTGAAGCGATTGGCAGGTATCCCAAGACATCAACGGGGATGCTGGCCACATGTGGGAGTGACTTGGGTATGCCATGTGCCATGTGCATTTCAAACCACAGTGCTAGAAAGATACAGGGAAGTAATGACATCGGACCACTTACGATTAGATCTACTCGCCCAGCCGTTGAGGAAGTAATCGAAGAAGTGACATCTCCCGAGTAGACGTAGGTTGCAGTCGGATTTCCAGCCTCGTCTGTCTCCTGGAATGTCAGCCTCTCATGATCCTTGTGAGAGGTCATGTTCAGGCCTCGGGATGAGAAGTAAACAAGGTTGCTCGGATCGAGGTAGAGTCGGGGAAGGCACGTGCTTGAGACCACGTACCATTCTATCCCTGGTACTTAATGATTATCTTATAGTTCAAGCTCTATGAGCTATATTACTATATTCTAGAGTATTATGCGTCTACCAGAAAAGCTTAGTGTTCGAGAAATTCATTTCTTCGAATAGTGCTCACAGAGCCTATGTAACAGGAACCAATTCCTGACCAAAATCTATGTATAAAACGCACATTTCGCGTTTCGACATCAAGACGATACAGCTGTATGTTGCGCATGAAAATAGAACACCGAGAAAAAATCAACCACCAGCGCCGGGTACAAGAAAACACCGAGAAAAAAGGGCGGCAAAGAATGACCGCTAGAGAAAGACGTCCTTGTAAATGGCCTCCGACCATCACAGGGAACAAGGTATAAGGTGAGAATTTCTGGTCTCGGAAATTCTCGGAACGAGTGAGCAAGCATGAGGTCTCCCCAGCGATCGCGAAGGCATTGGCAATGCCACGGTCGGCCAAAGTCAACATCAAGACCGCGCGTCACCAGCCGCAAGCTCAAGAAGACCCAAGCCGCTCATCATGCAACTTCCACAGGAAGTATCATGCCCCATTCATACATTTTGAGAAATTTATATTTTGCCCGAGGGAACGCTTATGCGAACATGCTCGCGCCGCCAGTCTCAATGGCCTCCATCTCAGCCTGAGTCCAGGGGAGACGACCGAAGCGGGAGGGGAGCTCAGCGCGGTCAAAGAACTCGCCAGACTGGGGCTTGACGGGGCCAAGCGAGGCGCCGGCCTGGCCGCCGATGGTGCTGTTGAAGGAAGAGCGACCGAGAGGGCCGTGCTGCTGAGCCTTAGCACGGTAGGTGGCGAAGGAGTCAGGGAGAGAGCCGGTGGGAGAGGCGGGGTGGACGCGAGGAGTGTGGTCAATGGACTCTGGAATATGAGGTTAGCTCAGGTCTGGGGAGATTTGGAGCTCGAAAATGGGAATTTCACGTACTAGGAACAGAGCGCTTTCCAACGAAGCGAATGAGAGGAGTGCGCGCTGCGCTGCTGAGGACGGAGGTGACACGCATGGTGATAGTATGTGGTAGTTATTTGTGAAGGTGGAAGGTTGGCAAGATCAAATTGACGCGGGAATGTGCGAAATTGAACGGGTCCGGTAGTATCCGAATCCGACCGAGAGGGCGAGTCACAACAAGAGAGTGAGTTATGGTTTTTAGAGGTAGTTAGAATGCTTGAGTATGTGAGAGAAGGTGAATGTAGAGTGTATTAGAGAATTAGAAGAATGGAAGGTGAAGAGGAGGGGAAAGTGGGAAAAGTCGAGAAGATAAGAAGGGTGAATTACCGAATTAGGACAAGCCGATTCGGAACCGGGATTATGTACAGTGTACACGGTATAATCGAGTACATCTACAATATTTATTACTACCTGCAGCATACAAAAATATGTACACGGTATAATTAAGTACATCCACATGGAGGAATACATAAGTCACGCCATATTCCTTTTTCTTTAGTACTTTGCATCGGAATCTAATCCCCGCGTGGCCGCCTCTACCTTCCAAGGCAGTATAATGATCCTTCCCCAATCTGTGACTTCGGTGAACTCACTAGGGAGCTCCTCCCCGTTCTCGGTGCCTCTTCGGTGCCTGACGCCTATTTTTTCGCGTTCTTTGAACCTCCAATCCGCCAATCACCATCCTGGTCTGAGACAATCTACTATCCTTTCCCCATAGTCCATTCAAGCTTATTTGCCCACACAGACCTCCCCCGCAATCGGAGGCAAAAAAAAGTGCATTTCAGAATTTTGACTGGATAATATTTTGACATCTTCAACTTTACTATCCTTAACGGAATTGATATTCCAGGGTTTCACAAGCATCGGAAAAGTCCCATTGGACTGACTGCCAAGAAACAGATCAAACAGACCAAACAAAGCACATTAGACGCTATTAGCAATAACAGCGACACATAAAAATACTCTGAGCTCTGATAACCATTGCGCCACTCAAGCTTGGACCCTGACTAACACATCCCGGATTCACCCGCCCGTGACCTTACACACATATCAATATGCACGAGCAGTCGCTTTTCGCCTCGGTTCCAGTCCACCAACATCATGAGCTTCTTCAGCAGCTTGCCGGATTGACGGCTATGCAGCCCCGCCATTGCCTAGAGCGGCGGTTGATCTTCAAAGCCTACCGCAAACCAGGGTTGGCGGGGCGCACCGGAGCCAGTCAGGACCTCCAACAGGGAGACCTGCAGCGGTTGAACAAGATGCTCAATGGGAACATGTACTACACCCAAGTGGTTGGTCCGGTTTCCGAACCGGATTTCGGGTCCACTGACCCCGTCGATCAAGACACTCAAATGGCCGGCATGGACTCGAAACCTTCTCCATCTTCGTACGACTATGAACGTCAGCCATGGAAGTTGGAGTTCCGTGATATCCCGGAAGCTGGCACTCGATCGGCGGTTACGTCGCGTCTGATGTCTAGCGCCACGCTGCCGCGGGGCGATGTTGTGCAATCTATGAATGCGTGGGGCTATCAGTGAGTGGCACCATCGAGTCTTATGATTGCGGGAACTAACCCTGTCTGTTCTAGTTTCACTACTGAATATGTGGTCGAAGGTGATATGTTCATCCACAATGACATTGCTATCTTCTTACATCGCGTGCTGCACTACCCGGGTGGGGATGAGTTGAATGTGCCTCGGCGGCAGCTGCCTGCTTTGAAGGATATGACTCTGTTTGAGAAGAGCGGAAGCTATGTGCTGCAGGCCTTCATCATTGTCCAGGACGGTAGCAATCAGGAGACGATGAAGACTGCCTCGCAGCATCTCTTTGGGCTGCGCGAGCAGTTGAAGTCGGCGGTTCTCCTGGAGCAGGCAGATCGATTGTCTCTTGATACGCGGGCGAAGTAGATGTCCACTCCTACTTCATTTGAGCATGCTGGGGAAATACCCAGTCTCCAGCGACTTTACGGCGTTGATTGAAAAAAAGAAGTATACCCATAGCAATCAAGTCCACTTGTCATCCCAGAGTGAGAATAAGGACAGCATAAGGCCAAAAGTACTCTTATAGTCCCATAAGTAAAAGCCCAATGCCTATACTAATATGTCCGGGGAGGACCATAGCTGAGCGGGTAAACCCTCGACTATGCTCCTGCCTGGACGAACACCACAAAAGAGAAAATAAAAAGGTGAAAATAAAAAAACCCACATGGATTGGAGTTCACAAAGAATCTATCCGAGCTTGCCGTGCGTTTTACGCCGACATCATCCTATTCTTCGAGTGAAGTCGGATATGAAAAAGAGATCTGACTTCACATCCGTCTCAAAAGGATACCCTTCTTGCTTCGTTATATCTTTTTTATCATCTTTTTATCGTATAGTTGAATATCACACTCCTGGTTGTATACTTTCACTTTAAATGTTCAGAACATGTGACTTCGTGATTGCTCCCGCGTCCCGGCGCGTGTCAAAAGACCTCAGATTCAACTGCAACTCGCTGCGAAAACCGATCGAATCAACCACCACACCAAATATCCCCATAAACTCTTCACAACGTCTTCACTAGCCCGGACTTTCAGAATGGCCGAGGGTGCAGCCAAGAGAAGCGCCTCCACCCAAGCCATATCTCCACCACCGTTGCGCCGCAAGGTTGACTCGACAGTAACTAGTGGGTCTTACTATTCACTAGTGATTGCACCTACTGATAACAATTAATGTACAGAGAAATCAGCGGCCAACTTCTTCACTCCGGCCTCGCAAAAGAAGCCCGAGCCCATCACATGGCGTGTCATAGGCACAAGTGTCATCATCGGGAAGCAGATAACGGGCAAGGCAGGCCCTTACACAGAGAAGCAGCGCAGAATTGCAGGATTTGATCTGGTCAGTGGTTGAAACGAACGCTAGAACAGGTATTGTCGAGCGAGGGACCTTACTGACGTCAATATAGGATTCAACTTTGATCAAAACTAAATCGGGCAATGTCTTTCCCAAGTCTGCCACTGATTGGCAATGGTGGAACGCCAAAGTTCCGGGACGACTAAAGGAGCTCAATGCTGAAGGGTATGTTCAGACTCCGGGTATAGGATTAATTGCGTTCACTCGAGCTTACACTTTGACAGCTTCCAAGTTGTAATCTTCTCCAACCAAAAGAAGATCAGTGTCCAAAAGGATATCAAGGGTGGACGGAGCGACTCGAAAAGTCTGTCGAACTTCAAAGAAAAGATGACTGCTGTCATGACGGAACTGGATTTCCCTGTCAGCGTTTACGCAGCCACCACAGACCCTGAATGTAGGAAACCCCGTATCGGGATGTGGCGCGAGTTCCTGGACGACTATGATCTCGATGTTGCGGGTGTTGACTTGCCTGCGTCGGTTTTCGTCGGTGATGCGGCTGGAAGGCCGGGTGATCATTCAGCTGTGGATCGGTAAGAGCGTCATCACTGTTAGTGTTGTGACAAATCTGATCTCGGCTCTAGGGGACTTGCTACCAACATCGGTATGCCATTCAAGACCCCCGAGGAGTTTTTCCTCGGGCAGATCACAGAGCCGGCGACGATGGGCTTTGACCCTATGTCCTTCGTAAAGACGGATCTCGAAGAGCCGGGTATGTGCTGTCCTGTTACTTCCAATGAACTTGATATCCCCCGCAAGAAACCCAACTGGCAGATTGTTGACAGGTCTTCATCGCAGCCAAACCCTTTACTCGCAAGCACCCACTTGAACTTGTTATCTTCTGTGGCAGCCCAGGTGCCGGGAAGTCCACTTTCTACTGGAATCACCTGGAACCTCTAGGCTATGAACGAGTCAACCAAGATCTTCTCAAGACAGTATGCGTTATAACCAATTCGAAATGAAACTGAAATCAAGTGCTGACGAACGACAGCGTCCGAAATGCCTCAAGGTCGCCCGCGAGCACTTGGAAGCCAAGAAGTCCGTGGCAGTCGGTACGTCATGGCATCTATTTCCATCTTACCTTCAGCTTCATTTTCAAGCGATCTAACCCGACCCTAGATAACACGAACGCCGACCCAGAAACACGAGCTCACTGGACATCTCTCGCAAAAGAGTTCAAGATCCCTATCCGTTGCGTACAATTCATCTCCACGCCAGATCTATGCAAGCATAACAACGCCGTCCGAGCATCCAACAAAGACCTGGTATGTATCAACATCCCCACCATTCCAACCTCATCATTCTCATCCCAACCAGAACCCCGAATCCCGAACCTCCCTCCCCGGCATCGCCTTCGGCGACTTCGGCCGCCGCTTCCGCGCACCAACGCTAGACGAGGGCTTTGACGATATCATCCCGGTTGAGTTCCAGTTCCACGGCAGCGAAGAGGCGAAGGGACTTTGGGGCCAGTATTGGGTTTGAAACCAGGACTGGTTATACGCCTACAACTTACGTCCTGTGGGATATGCTTACGTCTGCATCGTTCTCATATTCATCTTGATCTATGTGCCGCATGTGTTGAACCTGAAACACGGCTCGTGTCGATGGACCTATTACCTGTTACTTGGGTTTCACCTGACCTCAAAAACGCGATGTTGATCTCGACTGCGTCAATGCAGGTTTCGGTTCTGTGGTAATCTTAGATCAAAGCATTCTCAGCTCTGATGTGGATCCTGTGGAGGGGTATAGCATGCGATTGGGATATTGTATGTGTTATAGCAATGCTCGATCCAAGACATGACGTACAGCCCAGATTGGCGCATAACTATATCACCTACAGTAGATACTTACATAGGTGCATGTAGGTAGGTGTTCATGCAGTCGTAATAAGCGACAAATATCGCAAAGTACACACACAACCCTAAGTATACTCTATTGATGGCTAATTTGAACTCCCACTACTAGATCCAGCAGACACAATCTGAATTTGAAAAAGTGACTCAGACTCACAATATCCACGAAGAATAAACCAAACCTCTTTGCCAAGCCTAGGCAGCACCTGGGCAGCACCTCACTAAGCACCATGCCCCAATATAGACGTGTCTCAAGTGGATACAAGTATGAAAAGCCCACAGTCGTTCATGTCGGTATATTACATTGTAAGTTCAAATGGCGGTAGCTTCACAACGTGGCCGACCCACACTACTAGCCACGCCCACTCTCTGTATTGTTGTACACCTGCCACTTCCTACATGTGACTCATCTACACGCACTTTATACTAGAGTATAGTATCTCCCACGTGTGGGGATTCTATTATGCACCGAGTCATCCCTTCCAATGAAAGGTATAGGGTTATGTTCATAGAGGATTGTAATGTAGATGTAATTATAGACATGTCCATATGATAATCATATGTGTATTGTGCAGCAGGATATATACATATAGAAAACAAGGGTATGATAGTTTTTTCAATGCTTTTTTTGGCTTTTGTCCCGAGAGCGGGTGGATAGGGTTGAAGTCTATGGGGTACAACGGGCTGGTAGGCTTGGTGTATGGGGGGTATAGTTATGTATGAAGACAAAATGAGAGGAAGGGTGGTACACCCATTGAACAAGGGGGATAGCTTTTCTTCTTGTCGACTGCTGAAAAGATGATATCTTTGGGAAATGTAGACATCAAGACGAAGAGATGGAAAAGATAAACCCAGAAAGACAAGACTCGGGATATAGACGAAGGAATGACATGATTCGGGGCGAGAATAATAGTCGCTGAACCGGATCGTGAGTCGTAAGAGACATTATAGTTTCAAAAAAAAAATAACCAAAAGAGAGACATTAATCGTAACAGTGCGGGCGAGATCAGAAGGCGCGCGGGGAATAATCTATCGTCATTATCGTTGCGGGTCGCTTGAAAAGGAAAAAAAAAAGAAAAAAGAGCCCAACGAAATGACTCAGGCCTCAAGGTCGGGAGACCAAATCCTGGAAAAATCGGAAGAAATTCCTCTTTTTCTCAGAACGGCAGGGACCTGCAATCTCCGTAGCTGGTGCCACAGTCATTGGGCCGACAATATCCTCATCACCCATATCGGGGAACTTGTCATTGTCATGCAGACGCGGGATGCGGACTTGCTGGCAAGGGTGGATATTAGACTGAGTGAGCGTGAGCGCAACACCGTCAATAGCGCTAAGCTGGTCGAGCATGGCTTCGTGCTGCGTTGCCCAGTCACGGTTGATCGATTCCCATTTCTCAACGGTGAGTTTGTAAATGTTCGAGGTAACGCCGTAGTGTTCGCCCGTGCGGACGAGATGCTTGGCAAAGTTGCAACGCGCGATATCCCAGTCAGCGCGTAGCTGCTGGAAATGGCCGAGGTCGCAAACCACGGGTTCGTAGGGCTCGGGGACGATGGTGAAATTGGCGTGACCGAGTTTGTTGGCCCATTCGTCGTTGGGATCGGAGAGGACGAGGGGTGTTACGTCGCCTGAGACTGTGCGGACGGTGCTGGCGCGTGGTCGGTTGAAGGAAGCCACGGAGGGCTTGGATGAGAGGGGTGGCGAGGGGAGGATTCCCATAAAACGTGGGTCGGAGGTCACGTTGTAGTTATAGTGTGGTTCGTTCACGTCCGCGACTGAGGGAGACTGTAGTGGTGACTGGACGCGTGATGCTGCGACGCTTGTTGGGTCGTCTCCCATGAACGGTGGTAGGAGAGGGGTTGTCGCTTTTTGTATATCGTTGTCATCCTGGCTGAGACTGTTTGCTCGGGTGATATCGATTGGGCGTGCGCCGGACTCGCTCGCGCGTTCTTCGAAGATTGTTCGTGCGGGCGAAGGAGGAATGGAGTCGACCCGGCTCATGGGCATGGAGCCAACGATGGGGCTTGCCAAGGCGGAGGAGGCCGCCGAGTTTGCGCGTGATCGTAGATCATCCGGGAAGATATCGCCTTCTGCACCACCGGAGGATCGTTTAGTCTTCCATCGGGCTGACATGGTCGAGATGTGGGAGTTGATGCGCGAGACGCCCTTTATTGAGACACTGTCTGAGCGTCTCTTTTTCGGTGATGGGGCAGTCTCCATGCCGGTAACGCTCAGATCGTAGCTATCTGAGTTATCGACAGGAGTAAAGTATGACTCTTCTGCAGACATGCCGTAATCAAAATGTTCTATAGAAAGTCCGAGGTTAGCAACTGTGGTATCGGGGAGTTTTTTTTTTTTTTTTGCAGTGGCGATTAAGACATACGGAAATAATGATCTTCCAACGAGTCGCGCGTGCATTCTTCTTCTTTAACTCCGGTCAAATGACTCCGACTGGGACTGTCCATTGAATTTCCCAGACCCGAGGAAGAGACGAGGGAAGAGACCGAGCTGGAGACCCGGTTGTGGCCTGTCGAGAACAAAGAGGTGGCAGGTGAGGCCGGCGCAGAGGTATTAATAGTCAATGGGGAGTGCGGCTGGCGTGAGTCCGTGTCGAGACTTTCTCGTGTCGCGTCGATTATTTGAGACAGTTTGTACATTTTGAGAGCTCCGCTGGACGGGGTGGCTGGTATATAGGGAATAGTTGCAGCTCAGCATTAGAGAGGGGTGACCACAATATAAAGAAACGTTCAGTTTGAACAAGTCATTCCCTTTGGGCGGAAAACGGTAGCGGTGTGATGGGTTATAGTCCGGGAAAGGCGGGAACTGAAGTGTACCAGTTAGCATCCGATGATGAAATGCAAATTATCGTCCAGGTAGAGAAAACAGTCGAAAACAGTCCAAATTCAGAAAATACGAAAGGAAAAAAAAAAGAAAATGGATTTGGAGCGACGTGGACCAAACAAGTCCAAGTTGGCTGGGCAGAAAAGTGCTTTTGCTTACAATCGGCAAACGGACTGGTGAACAGGGAGATCCTGGGTAGTGCAGTCCTTTTGAGATCCCTGATGTTTAGAGAAGAAGGAATGTGTGAGAGAAATGTAGAACTATAGACGAGTGGCTCTAAGACTCAGAATTCTATGGAATTTCTCAAAAGTTGACTAACACAACAAATATGGACTAACCCCAAAATATTTCCCAAGGTATGCTCCGCCAAGTTCCGGTGGTTGACACTATGTGAACCATGGTAGTAAAGAGTCTGGAAGGGTTCTTATTCTTTTTCTTCTTTTTATTCATTTTTATTCCATTTATTTACTCTTTATCTATTTATTTACATATATACCTGTGGACACATGTATCCCATCGAATTCGATTGTTTTCAAACCCTCAACGGCTACACAGATATGTTGTGTACCCTTTCCACAAAAACCTGTGTGTGCGATCGGCAATCTAGACTAAAGTGGATTCAAGAGAACCATTATGATGCCATCTCCGACCCAGTCTCCCCTGATTCGTTATCTAGATGTTGGATATATCCGCTTATCCTTATTTATCCAACTCGGTTATCATTCGGCCTAGGTATACCCATCCCCCCATATACCCATCCCCGTTTGTTACGCTGAACAACCGCGGACAAGGTCCCGTCCCGTAGTCAGAACTTTGTCCGAGTATGACGAGAGTTGTACAAGGGTGAGGGTTATCGATTCGAAAGTAGATGTATGATACTTGTGCGAACTCCGAACTAGACCTGGATGACAGTGGTACGGAGAAGATAGATCCAATCAATAATACTTAGGATGAATAAGAGAGGGGAAGCCAAATCCTTTCCCCTTTTGACAGACGTCAGATCCACATGGGAACCGTTCTCGGGAAACTCGGGGAACATTCCATTTTTCCAGAGGCAAAGGGGAAGAAAAGGTAAGCCATGGATGTTTGCCTAAGAGTTTATAAGGCGAGCCTTGGCGCATGGATTCTCGGGTTTATACTTGCTCGACGAGTCAACTTTTCCATTTAGAATTCTTCACTTGATTGTGATATATCAGATCCTTTGTCCTACGTTTTTTTCCCCTGGAGATCTCTAGAAGCATCCCTGCAGGTCACTAGGACAGAACAGATAGGTTTGGGTCTACTAACTCGGGTGGCCAATCATCGCCACTCGGCAAAAAATAAAAATAAAAAAGAAGCAAAAAATAAAAAACCTAATCGTCTTGAACCGCTGAGCTAATCACCTAACTAGGAAGGGATACTTCCGATCTCGGGCTGTTCCAAGGTTATGTCATATTCAAACTCAGGGCTCTAGGAACACCACATGGATAAGTCTTAATTGAGATACTATGTTCGAGATATGTATATAATCTAATTAAAATTGCCATTGCTGTATCCAATTTCGTATGAGCGAGGGAGAGACCGGGCCGAGAGTTCTCATGCTGACACTTGCCTCTCTCGCCCGTCGGACATCCAGCGCCACAGACAAAGCACTGTCCTCGCTCTGGATCCCACGGTAGAAACCCAGCAACTTGAGTGCGGGTTTCGAAGCAATATCCGCACTATTAGGGCTAGTTATACTTTCTAGCTCGGCAACCCACGCGGAAAACGGAACTGGCTCGACCGGATACTGGTTCTGGATAGCCGGGATCAAGGACGACCATGGTGCTCGTTCAGGATTCGTGAGATGAAACACGGCCCAACGCTCTTCGGAGATATGACGTGTGTTAACGATTTCCACTATAATATTCGATAGAGTGTCCTAAATAAAGCAAGAAAGTGATCAGCGGCAGGTCTTGGCCTTTTTTTTTTTTTTCCTTCGGCCGAGTTTTGGAGCTCAATATATAGTGCTCGGGAATTCGGCTTACCACTGGCACCCAATCGACCGCGGTCGAGCCAAGTCGGTTAGGGATTTTACCCATCGCTTTCGACGTCGCAATGATCGTCGGTAGCCATTCCTGCGGATTCCATTGTCCGCGCGCCGTGGTCGGTCCGGCGATCTGTCCGACGCGATACACCGACGTAGGGACGTGAGATCGTTGCGAGGCCTCGAGACAAATGCGCTCGGCAACGTACTTGGATTCGCCGTAGCCTTGTGGGAGAACGACTGCAATGTCCTCTATTGGTACTTCTGGAATCGAAGCTCCCATTTCTGGGGCCCAAGCGCCTACCGTGCCGATTGAGGAGATGAAGTGAAGATGAGCGTTGGTGCGGCTGCTCAAGCAAAAGTCGATAAAGCGTCGCACACCCTGGATGTGAGTGTCCTCGAAGGAATCGACGGAATGGTTGAAATCGACTTTCCAGGCGTTGTGGATGATGGTGTCAACGGAGTCGAGAAGTTCTTCGTACTTGGACTCCTGCAGCCCGAATCGTGGTTCTCCGAATGACACTTGGAGGAATTCGACCTTGTCTTTCCAGTCGTTGGCGTCAAGGTGCAGTCCTTTCTCTTCGAAGCCTTGCTTCTGACGTAATTCGGCATCTGAGCGATTGAGGCAGTAGACTTTAGTGATGGAATCGCTTTTCAGCAGAGAATACAGTAGATAAGTTCCCAGTGAGCCAGTTGAACCAGTCAGTATCACAGTTGAAGGCGAATGCAATACATTCTGAGGGTAGACTTCCCGCGCTGGAAGATCGGACGTATACTTTTCCACAAGACTCTGGATCTTTTCAGCTCGCGGGATACTAGCATGGGGTTTTCCACCGAGGATGGCCATTACAACTCGAGACAATCGGTCGATTGTTGGGTTTCCATAGATCGTTTGGGCGTTGATGGCTCCTGCTTTCACCTTCGGCCGACGTAACTGGATGCCTTTTTGCAGCGCCCGAGCGACATGAATGGTCATCAGAGAATCAAGACCGGCAGAGTAAAAGTCGTGAGTGTCTGCAATCTTGGGCTTCTCCAAAACACGAGTAATAATCTGGCGAATACACTCTGTGACACTCTCACGGTTTAACGTCTCTGGCAGACATTGGTCCAAGTCATCCTCGAGGTCTTCAGCATACATTGCAGAAATCTCTTTCTCGTAGTCTCGAAGCACAGCCCGACGCTGTATAGTTCCTTTAGGAGTCGTCTTAAATGGCTTCGTCTTCTCTGCGAACCAGATCTTGTTCTTCATCACCCGGCCATGAGCCGCAATGCCCTGGTTAGCCACTTGTACTGTCGGCCAGATTTCATCAACAAAAACCTTCTCATCCATTTCCCGTCCTCCATGATTCGGCTCGACGAGCAGCCCGGCCTGGAACCGGGACTCGCCGACTACCACCGCCTTTCCAACCAGCGGGTGCCCTTCAATGATAACCTCCATCCCAACAGGATTGAACTTCTCGCCGTTGCTTAGGACAACCACATCATCCTTACGCCCATGGAATCTCCACAGACGCGGGTTCGTCGGGTGTGGTGTATAAAGATCGTTGGTTGGATACACATTAATGTCGGGGAATGTATGAAAAATTCCCTGAATGTCACGAGCATTCTCCTGCCGAGGAATTATCATCTCGAATACACCCTCGCCGACATCATGCATCTCCAGGCCAAATTCTTCACTCCATTCGAGGTAGCCCCAGTTGGCTGGATCCTCCGGTATCAACGCTGGGATCACGCCGACCTCACTGGTTCCTATGATCATTCCCATCTGCGTATACCTGCGCAGTCGCTCTCCAGTCTCTACAGGCAGAGCTGCACCGCCAAAGTAAATTGACTTGAGTTCTCTCAAACAATCCAGTGCTTTGTCGGAGTTGCTCAGATCGTCCAGGATCGAAGGTGAGCCGACTACGACTGTGGGATGGGCAGTTTGCATCAACTCTATCATATGGTCGACAGAGAATGGCTTATCTGGGCCAATGAGGATGGGAACCTCGACCCACACTGAGAACAACAATGGAAGCAGCCCCAGTAGATGGAAGAAAGGCGTCGTACCCATCACCAGCTCGGTTTGATCCATATCGTAGTAGAGAGATCGCTGACGACCTGGCGGCTTTGCGAGGTGAGAATGAGAATCGATGGTCATGAAGAAGCCGTTGGTGAGGTATACCGGCTTTGGCATAGCTTTTGAAGGAATTAGTGCGGGTTCACGATACCATATTGATGAATTTACCTGTCGTTCCAGAGCTATGAATGATGCACATTGTGTCATTCTCTGCATCGGCATAAGACTTGGTATATGGATAGTGTTGCAGGCCCCTCTCGTCACTGAGAATTTCCTTCATAGTCGGGACCTGGTAGATATCCAATACCGAAACAAGTCCCTGGACCTCCAGGGTTCGTTGTTGGCGCTCCTCGCTGAAGAAGAACTTGGTGCAGTTTGTCGCCTTCAGTAGATGAACATAGACTTCGTCCGAGTTCCTAGTAGAAGGCAAGAAGGCCTATAAGAATCAGTCCGACTATTCTATCTTCAGCTCCAATGGCTTTATTTATTACCTGGTATCCAGTCTTCTGGCATGCAAGCATAAACACGAAAAACCGCACATCATTACTCCCCATATAGGCCAATGTCTCTGGATATTGTGCCGGTCCGATGTTGCTTTCAATCCACCAACACATGAAGTTCACGGCCTGTGCCAGGTCTTTGATTGAAAGGTCTTGGAATCCATCGCTTATTTCCAATCCCTGTGGAATAACTGCAAAGCGTTGGCTAGGATTGGTTTTAGCACGATCGTCGACCGTTGTCGCAAGCAGTCTTTTCCGGTGAGACCCCATGCTCTTGTTTAATCTAAGATTTGGGTGTCAGGAACTAGTCAAACCAATGCAGCAAGTGCGCTAGGAAATATTGAACAGAACAATGTGATGTGCTAAGAACTATTAATTTTAAGTGGACATAAAATCCATATTTATATCCTATATATATAGTTCCAGGAACCTTAAAACCCCAACCAAATGATCTTGGTTTGGGGTGTCACCGAAGTGGCAAATCAACATTCATTACTATCATTATATGTACTACATATCCCGTATAGCATATGCAGCTTATACATTATGGGAGTAACGAGCATGAACGTGTAGATCATTGCTTATACGGCGCTAGTTTCACCCCATTTGGAGCCTATTCCGGGTATAGAGCATTACTATGCTTCCTTTTGGCTTCAAAACAATCGAGTTCTTCCATCTTCCGTGATATTGGTGCCGGACTATGTTGGAATATAAGTAGGGTGTCTATGCATCAAGGCAGGTTGGCCCGACGCAGAACAATGTGTTGAATGATTTTACCAAAAGATCACCATGCAAATCTGGGATCGTTCATGTCGGTAGTGATCGTCCTATCTGTAGACTAATTGATCACCTATGTAGTCATGCATCGTGTCGGATCCCCGATTCATTCCCCTCATATAGATTTATGTTACCAGATATGCCGCATAGCAATGATCTACAGATGACAATGCATGCCTGTTCGATGTAGATGTTTGTGAGTATGTCCAATGTCCATGATCGCATATGTCATTCGCTATATATTGTCAAGCTTAGCTATACATAAGCTCTTCTTATTTCGGGGCTTAGGACTGCCATACTTACTAGTGGATTGTTGCATATAATAATCTTTGGGGAAATACATCGTGGATGAAAATGTTGGTTTTACTCTGTGATATGCCACCCAGATATCCAGCCACTGTAATTTCTTGTGTAACTCTCTTCAATGTTGGATCGAATCTGTACCTCGCCATATTTGAACCAAAATATACATCTCGGGTTACAGACAAATATGAGAAAGGTCGGCTTGATATGAACCAGAGCAATTCAACCCAGCCACATAATAAAATGAGACAGACCTAATATCTATCCAATAGGATATAACCCGTTCTATATCCAATCTTAGCCATCGATGGGGTGTTTTGATATCTATCCACGTGACCACATACATCGGGTTTGTTTCCGATCTCGGACTTCGGACTTATCCAAGCATCGCAAAATACTCAACCTCTGGGTGTCGGGGTTATTCCATTGTCTTGGATACATAAACACATAACCATTGGAACATATACATACTCCAATCATTCAATGAAGTTCTCTTCATATATCGCGGCTGCGGCCATCATATCCGGTGTTCAGGCTTCTCCGCACCCCGCACCCCAGCAGCAACAGCTCCTGGGCGTGCCATCCACGCCCTCCCAGCCCAGCTACACCCAAGCAGGCCTAGATGATATAATCAGCGATTCACCTCTACTATCTCTCCACCGAGATCTGGTGAAAATCGAGTCAATCTCCGGCAACGAACACGATGTCGGCCTCTTCGTCGCGCAATACCTGGAGGCCCGGGACTTCACCGTGGTAAAGCAAGAGGTGCCCCCAGTGAAAGGACAAGAGGACACAAAGACCCGATACAACATCTACGCCGTTCCAAAATCATACACAGAACCCCCCTCAATCATCCTCACAAGCCACATCGACACAGTCCCACCCTTCATCCCATACTCCGTGCACCAGCCAACCAACTCCACCACCGTCGACCCAGAAGACCTCATCCTATCAGGCCGCGGCTCCGTCGATGCAAAGGGTAGTGTCGCAGCCCAAATCTTCGCAACCCTCGAAACCCTGGACTCAAACCCAGAAGCCAAGCTGGGCCTCCTCTTCGTCGTCGGCGAAGAAATCGGCGGCGACGGCATGAAAGTCTTCTCAAACTCAACCCTCAACACCAAAGACGTCTTCAAAACCATCATCTTCGGTGAACCAACCGAAGCAGCCCTCGTCGCCGGCCACAAAGGCATGCTCGGCTTTAAGGTCCTCTCTCACGGCAACGCCGCACACTCAGGATACCCGTGGCTAGGCAAGAGCGCCGTCTCGGCGATTCTACCTGCGCTCTCGCGTGTCGACGTGCTAGGTGATATCCCCGCCGAAGAAGGCGGTCTACCTGCGTCCCCGAAGTACGGACCGACGACGCTGAATATTGGCGTTATTCGCGCTGGGGTCGCGACGAATGTTGTTCCTTCTGAGGCGTGGGCGGATGTTGCTGTTAGACTTGCGGCTGGAACGCCTGCTGAGGCGCGTGAGATTATTCAGCGTGCTGTTGAGGAGGCTGTGAAGGATCAACCGGCCGAGGTTGTTTTGGACTTTGTTTCTCATGGCGAGTCTTATCCCCCGCAGGATTTGGATGTTGATGTTGATGGGTTTAATGTTACTACTGTTAACTATGGTACTGATGTGCCGAATCTGGCTGTCGGAGCTGGTGTTAAGCGCTACTTGTATGGGCCTGGCAGTATCTTTGTTGCTCATGGTGATAATGAGGCTTTGACCATCCGCCAGATTAAGGAGGCTGTCGATGGTTATAAGAAGCTGATTGAGGCTGCGCTGAAGAGAGAGAAGAACTGAGGTGGCCATATCATTGGTTTCTTGTTACATATTATCTTGATAGGAGCTTGATATCTGGTGCTGTATGTCCATGGGTATATAATTTCGGTTACTAGGTCTTGCCTCTAGGTTATCTAAAGTCACCGCAGAAATGAAGGTGATGGCCTGACTTTACGTATGAAATGTTATCCTTATACGTCACTACCAGGAGTATCGCTTCCTGAAGAGTAAAATCGGTCATATACAGAGGGTTGGTATACAAATCTAGGCTTCCCCAGAGGGCAAACGAAAAAATCACAGGAAAAAAGCGCTGTACAGAAGACATAAGAGACATCAAAGCCATAAGGAACCAAGACCACCCAGCATGTCTACTGCCTAGGCGCCCTCTCCCACCCCGTCTTAAGATCCCCAGTAGGCTTGAACCGCGGGAATGGATGGGCCTCAGTATTGAAAACGTGATCCTCCAGCGAGATGAAATCACGATCTGAGAACAATAAGTAGAAATATTTAAGCGTCTCAGCCATCCAATAGCCCTCCATATTATCGCGCTTGTATGAAGGGACCGCATCCGCGTTTCCGAGTGATGTAAAGCCCTTGATACGGAAAACGGGCGCTGTGTTGGTTGACGTAGGAATACGGGAGGTAATCTTCTTCTCGACCACGGCTGTGTGTTTGATGAAAGACTTGAAGATCTCCCAGCCCCATTGACGGTAGATATCGTCGCCGGTGATACGATAGAGATAGAAGAGGGACTCGACAGTTTCCGGGCGTTGTAGATTGTGGCGGTCGTTGCGGCGAATGTCGATATCCGCGCGCCAGGACTCCGAGGCATCGCTTTGCGCATCTAGGGGCTTGGAGATGCCGTGTAGTGCCTCGGGCTTGGATGCGCGGTTGGGGTTCGTTGGGTCTGGGTACTTGTCTGCCATCATCACGGGCGGCGAGTCTAGGACGAAGTGGGAGATCTCGGCTGCGAGACCGGTTGCTGTTGCCTTGTGCATTGCCCAGCAGGTCTTCATCAATTCCTTGGACATGAGGATTTCGTCCTCGCGCTGTTGAGTCCAGTCCGCTGACTTTCGGGCTTGTGACAAGGGCTGGCCACCGGTCGCGCCGAGCGCGATTGTTCCGGGCATAAAGCAGACCAGATGGTCCATTCTGGGAGACAGGTCCTGGTCTAGGCCCTGGGGGCGCTCGCCGATGATCATCAGCTGAGAGTTCTTGGTGAATGAGACCAGGTTCTTGCGAATGCCTCTCAATGCCTCGTCCCACATCTCTTTGTAGATGGGCTCCTGTTGGGAAGTTTGCAGGTATTGCTTGATGAGATATTCTGGAGCGAGTCAGCCTAAAAGAACCACCGAGCATCGAGTATCATCAACATACCATAGTAAGAATCTGCCTTATTGCCCAGAGTAATACTGTCTCCCTTGAATGCACCATTGTCAGGATGGATGGCAGTTCGGACAAGGCCATCCTGCGACTTTTGCTGATCAACCAGCTTCATCGTTTTCTCAACCACCTTCCAATATTCTGCCTCGCCGGTCAGCTTGGCCAAGTACTTGAATTCAAGCTGTAGCGAGCCAGCCTCAGAAATAGACGTAGCCCCCTCGTCGAAATGCACGACAACGCCTTCTGACGAGTTGAGATTGACATTCGACCATGGGATACCGCTTGGAGACTCGAAAGCCCCGAGTAACCGCTCAGCGAGGTCAGCTGCTTTCTCGATGTACAGGTCTTCACCGTCAGCACCGACATCATCGTCGCTGAGGGGTGCCAAATTGGGGTATTGGGTTGACAGATAGTGTGCAGACAGCAAACCACCCAGCATGCGAATAGTCGTCTCAAACGTATTAACATCACGGTTCTGATCATAATTCAACGATGTTGATATCCATTGCCGCGCGCGGTGAACCTTGGAGGTCAGATTCATGATCATCATTGTGTCCAGCGAGTCAACTATCATCCAGCCTAATCCGCCGCTCGTGTCTTCCTGGTTAACGTTCGATACTGGGCGATACTGATCGTATCCTGAATAATGGTGTTAGCACTGTCATAGTGCACAAGTCTGCTGTATGACCTACCCCATGCGTTCTTTTCATATCCTTCCCAACTGACGATGAAGGCGTCCCGCACTTTCTCTCGTCTCGCAGTCCAGTCAGATAAGTCCCCAGAAGATTTTCCGTCTTCCAATGTCTGGGCCCATTTCCATAATTCTACCCCTTTATCATTTGACTGTAGCCCCGACCACGTGGGGAGGTAGAATTTATACCACAACAAAAATAACACTGTACACACCCCCAGCACGTTCAGGAACGGCCTCCATCTCCTTCGAGGACCTGTGCGCCGCGGCGCAAAGAATGGCTTATCTTTGTATAAAGGTAGTGTGCGGTCCTTTTCAAAGTAGCCGTTCACTTTATTGGATAGAGGGATGGGCTGGTTCGACAGCCCGTATCCTCGGAGCCCGCTACGAGGGTTTCCGTAGAAGCCGTCTTGTTGCGCGGGCGCAAAGGGACTGCGCGATGGCTGGTAGGCCATTGTAATCTTCGATTTTGTCTCTTGTTCCGTGGGGAATCTCTGCCGGTCTGGAATTACCGAGTGCGCCACATGGGAGTGAAGAGAAGGGTTGAGGTGATGTAGGAGGATTCGCCCTTGCTTGGTGTTGATCAAATATTTATTTCAAAGTTCGTTCAAGCGTATCTGCTGTTCAACACACCAGTTAGTCAGGTTTCATTACAAAACGAGGAGCCAACCCCTCGGGCCAGCCCTGGAGGACAGCCGCACACTTACCGAAGTACAACTCTTTGCTAGGGTGTTTGTGATGTACAGGTCTCGGTCGCAAAGACAACCTGATCTTCGGGTCTAAACAATGAAAAGAAAAAAGCCAACATGTACTGATACAGTTGTGTTGGGTTGATGGTCCGTAAAGAATTTCTCTGCGGAGATGGGGAGCGCGGAGGTTATCCCGCGTGTCAACAATCCTAAGGCAGATAAAAGCCAATTATCGCAACAAGCATTCGATCTGATTCGAGACGAAGTTTGCGCGAAAATCGAGAACGTGGCAAGGGCAAGTTGAAGGAAGCTGGGGAAGTGGAGAGGCAACACTAGGGCGTCCGCAAATCATATTTCTTTGTACGCGTAACCAGCCTCATATGTACATCAATAACAGGATATTTACCAATTTCAACGGTTAATTACTTGGGCTACGTTCTTCAACTGTTAATTAAGCAAGTTATTGTTCCAATCCGATTTACAGACTCCAACCTGAATAGATGAATAAGTCGAATGCTTAGCATTAGCGCTTCAAGATAAAGATCTAAACCGTGCACCAGATGACGTGGGCCACCAGCCCCCACAAGGTAGATACAATTACAGCTTCTGATACTCAAGCTTGCCCTCCAGCTTCTTCGCCTCTGCCACCTTCCGTACAGCCTTGTTGAAATCATCCTGGTTGATAGCGTCACGGTAATCCTTGATCGCGAACAGACCACTAATAAAGAGTTAGCAAACGAGTATACGGCATTGATATAGTTGTCACTCACGCTTCAGTAACCACGTTTCGGAGATCAGCACCGTTAAGACCATCACTCATCTTGACCACACTCTCAAAGTCGATATCGCCTTCCTGTTGAACTGTGCTTGTGTGGATCTTCAAGATCTCCAGACGACCAACCTCATTGGGAAGAGGAATCTCAATCTTGCGGTCCAGACGACCGGCACGCAACAGAGCAGGGTCCAGCGTATCGGGTCGGTTGGTGGCCATGATGATCTTTGTCTTTCCTAGGTAGTCGAAACCGTCCAGCTGGTTCAGCAACTCCATGAGTGTCCGCTGAATTTCTCGATCTGCCGATGTACCCTCTGAGAATCGTCGTCCACCAATGGCATCGATCTCGTCCATGAAAATAATGCAGGGCTCGTGTTCCTTGGCGTATCCGAACATCTCTCGGATCAGTCGAGCGGATTCACCGATATATTTGTCCACGATGGCCGAGGATACAACTAACGAGAGTAGACTAGTCAGAACATTGCGCGTGTAGATGTAAATAAAAAGTTGAACATACCCTTCAGGAAGTTGGTCTCTATCGAACTGGCCACTGCTCGTGCAAGCAGCGTCTTACCAGTACCGGGAGGACCGTAGAGCAGAACACCCTTCGGAGGCTTAATTCCAACTCTGAGGAAGAGTTCTGGATTCTTCAGGGGCAGTTCGATGACCTCACGGAGCTCTCTGATCTGGTCATTAAGACCACCGATACCCGCGAAGTTGACGGACCCTGGATCTTCCAGAGACATGTTGTACACCATGGGATCAACTTCGCGAGGCAGCATCCGCATGATGGTGAGTGTTGTCATATCCAAGGCCACACGTGTGCCTTGCTTCATCTTGGACTTATCCACCTTTGAACGACAACCGACCACATATCGAGGACCTGACGACGCCTTGACGATGACTGCAAAGCGAATTAGGTTTTTGATGCGATCATTAAAGCAGAAAGGTTGAGCTTCGGATACTTACATCGCTCTTCGTCGAGCTGCTTCAGCACCTCGCCGATGATCTGACCAACACTTTGTAGTGCCTTGATGTTATCCTCGGAGACATCAAACTCTCTTTGAAGATCCTTGATACCCAAGCGAAGGGATTTCAACTTGGCTTCCCATTCTCGTAGCTCGAGCAAGCTCTTTTTATAGTCCTCGAGCGCCTGGCTGCGCTCCGGGTCGCTCATGATGAAGGACGGATAGATTCACCGAGTGTGGACGAGTGCGGATGATAGCCAAAGGAGAACTGTAATTCAGGTGTGAATTCAGGGTTTCGTGTAAGGTCGTGGATGCGAAATGGATGGATATCGTGATTGAAAAGGGCGACAGCACCTTGCCTGGGGAGCTTCCAGCTTCCAGCGCGGCGTCCATGACAGACAATCACATGACCTAGAGCTGCCTTATGTCATTATCTTGGTCATCAGCAGACACCTGAGGCAGAACACTTGGAACAGTATAAGGCAATGAGGTGGGTTGAATCAAATGGTTCCATGCTATCTTTGTATAAAGTAAGTTACGATAATATGGCGATGATAATACATTGTAACATTGGAAAGTAGTTCACTTTACAGCTTCAGTCTATGTTTGAGCTCTTTACTTTGGGTTCTTTTGCGCCTTTCCTTCTCCCATTGGTCTATATGTATCCCCTATCTTAATAGTTTCTCTTTTTCTTTCTAACCAAGGTCCTCTTGATTACAATTGAGATGTCAAACTCCAAGTCAATGAGTTACCTAACTAGACCGAACATACCCGCAGTGTGGATAAGGCTGTTGATTCGAGTTGCCACGTTCTGTCAGCGAAGGGTGCTATAGCATTAGGAAGGACAATGATAGTATTGCCCGTTTGTCGCAGTGGTAGTCGCGCATCACTTGTACTCTCAAGGCCATGACGACAGAGCGGGCTTTTCTTGTTTCTTTTTACTTCCAATCTTGGCTGATGGGAACAGCCCGGAGAGAAAGATTATCCGAACACAGTCCGAGATTATGTTGCCTCAACAACAAGGCACCAACAGCTGTCTTCCAAATCCAGACAAGTCAGAACGGAAGAATGCTACGTAAGACGAATACTTTTTTTGATTGGGTTTGAATAAAGTCTCCAATATTGGCCCATACAGTAAGGGGTTCTATAGCTCAAATGAAATGCGCAATGGAGGGGTAGAGGCGTATGCCGTACGATGTGCACGTCCTGTAACAGGGGCAAGTGTACAATCGGAGAAGGGTATGTTATCATAGTCTAATATCTTCCGAGGAACGGAAGATCTCGTAGCTAGAGAGACCGCATATGGTCGGATCAGCCAGCAAGCGCTGGAGAATGGCCGTGGAGCCCCACTGTTGCATTGGAAAGAATCGGAGCAGCAATGAGCTTTCCCGGGGTTCTCTGGAGAAAGTATTTAAGTAGTCGGGTGTCTCCGTAAAGTTTTATTCTATTAAGTTGTTCTTATTTTAAAAACAGGTGAGTTGAAATATAACATATCATAACCATAACATCATATATACCCCACCAACCATCTACCCCTCCAACATACACATTCCTACACTACAACCCCAAAGTCTTCTGGAAAGGAATAGAAACCCAACCAAAAGACCTACCGGTGATCGTAGTAGGAAGCCCCCCGTTGAGCTCTCCAAGCAAATCATATCCTTCTCTCTCCCGCCCACTCTTTTTGGGTCATCGGTGAACCTCCCCCCGCCGTTAGTCACCTGCAGCTTTTGCCATATATCAGCCCATATCCTCTTTTCTTTCTTTCAACTGACTGAAATCATCAGCCTGTCCAATTCCAATATGCCTATTTCTAAGATCCACGCTCGCTCCGTCTACGACTCGCGCGGCAACCCCACCGTTGAGGTGGATGTTGTCACCGAGACCGGCCTTCACCGCGCCATTGTGCCCTCCGGTGCTTCCACCGGTTTGTCCTCCTTGATTGTCAGACCATTGAAACAGGACTAGATTGCTAACATTAACTCATAGGCCAGCACGAGGCTGTTGAGCTCCGTGATGGTGACAAGACCAAGTGGGGTGGCAAGGGTAAGTGAATCAATCCGATTGACCAGTAATCAGAAACTGATATCTTTATTTCAAATAGGTGTCCTCAATGCCGTCAAGAACGTCAACGACATCATTGGCCCCGCCTTGATCAAGGAGAACATCGATGTTAAGGACCAGGCCAAGGTCGACGAGTTCCTGAACAAGCTCGATGGAACCGCCAACAAGGGCAAGCTCGGTGCTAACGCCATCCTCGGTGTTTCCCTGGCCATTGCCAAGGCTGCCGCCGCTGAGAAGGGTGTTCCCCTCTACGCTCACATCTCCGACCTTGCCGGAACCAAGAAGCCCTTCGTTCTCCCCGTTCCCTTCCAGAACGTCCTCAACGGTGGCTCCCACGCCGGTGGCCGTCTCGCCTTCCAGGAGTTCATGATTGTCCCTGAGTAGGTCTTCCAGCCTCGAAATCCCTTGCAACTATAAACTGACCAAACACAGCACTGCTCCCACTTTCTCCGAGGCCCTCCGCCAGGGTTCTGAGGTTTACCAGAAGCTCAAGTCTCTCGCCAAGCAGAGATACGGACAGTCCGCCGGTAACGTCGGTGACGAGGGTGGTGTCGCTCCTGATATTCAGACCGCTGAGGAGGCTCTTGACCTCATCACCGATGCCATTGAGCAGGCTGGTTACACTGGCCAGATCAAGATTGCCATGGATGTTGCCTCCAGCGAGTTCTACAAGGAGGATGCCAAGAAGTACGATCTTGACTTCAAGAACCCCGAGAGCGACCCCACCAAGTGGCTCACCTACGAGCAGCTTGCCGACCTCTACAAGTCCCTCGCTTCCAAGTACCCCATTGTCTCCATCGAGGACCCCTTCGCTGAGGACGACTGGGAGGCCTGGAGCTACTTCTACAAGACCTCCGACTTCCAGATTGTCGGTGATGACTTGACTGTCACCAACCCCCTGCGCATCAAGAAGGCCATTGAGCTCAAGTCTTGCAACTCCCTTCTCCTGAAGGTCAACCAGATCGGTACCCTGACCGAGTCTATCCAGGCTGCCAAGGACTCCTACGCCGACGGCTGGGGTGTCATGGTCTCCCACCGCTCCGGTGAGACCGAGGATGTCACCATTGCTGACATCGCCGTTGGCCTCCGCGCCGGTCAGATCAAGACCGGTGCCCCTGCCCGTTCCGAGCGTCTTGCCAAGCTTAACCAGATCCTCCGCATTGAGGAGGAGCTTGGTGACAACGCTATCTACGCTGGCGAGAAGTTCCGCACTGCTGTCACCCTGTAAATGCAGCCTTTTGGCAGCATAGATCGGGCCTGATGAGGGCCCATCAAAAACGATGGTTTGATGATCTACGGAACCATCGCCCATGATGATTATGAATTTAATAGGATATTTTTCAATGAAACAAATTTCCACCACTTGACAAGTTAGAAAATCAGTAAATCAGTAAATGACAACGTGTAATTGTAGAACAAAGATCATGCTCATCGGGCATCCAATGCCCGAGATCACGTGAACATCCCACCTGGGGACGATAAGTGTGTCCCACATAAAATTTGCCCTCGCCCCTCCAATCCTTTGCTGGGTCTATTGTTGGCTTCCTTTTGGCCTTGCGTATAGCGCATTACGTTCTTTCTTTTCTTTCTATCAAGCTTTTAGATTTCCAAAAATGCCGCCTTCCAAGTGGGGTATGTTATTATCCTTGTATTATCGCCTTCTATAGTGATTGCCACCATTACTTAGCTCGTGTTCTAATTCCTATTGCTGTTGCTAATCCTTTGATCTCACACAGACGAAGAAGAAGAGGAGAGCCCCGTGCCTCCTGTGGTTGTCGCGCCCCGCCGCCGCTTCGACGATGAAGAGGACGAAGATGTAAGGCAACACAACCTCGAACCTGTCCAGCAGGGCCCTCACTCGCGCCCAAGTCCAACAAACTAACCACATCTCGAATAATAGGTCCTTGACTCATGGGATGCCGCCGAAGACTCCGAGGTAGAGCGCGAGAAGGTCAAGAAAGCCGCCGAAGCTGAGGCCAAGGCCAAGGCCGTCGCCGCCGCCAACAAGAAGAGCAAAGCCCAACGGATAGAGGAACTCCGACAGCAGCGCCTCCGCGAGGAAGGCAGCGGTGAATCCGAGAGCGAGGACGAGACAGACCGCCGTGCTCGTCTGCGCGCGACCGAACAGGAAGCCGATCTTGCCCACGCCGAGGATCTTTTCGGCTCTGTCGATGTCAAGCCCAACAAGGGCGCCCCCAAGGCCATCGTTGTCAGCGACTCCGCCGACCCCACCAAGGCTGTCGATCTGTCCGCCATGCCGCTGTTCAAGCCCGTCACCAAGGACCAGTTCACCCGCCTGACCGAGACCCTTGTGCCGCTCCTCACCCCGCACTCCAAGAAGGCCCACTACTCTCTCTGGGCGCAGGACTTCGCTCGTAAGCTCGTGAAGGATTTGCCTAGTGCTGAGATCAAGAAGATTGCTAGTGCTCTCACTACTGCTTCTAACGAGAAGATGCGCGAGGAGCGTGCGAATGACAAGGGCAACAAGAAGTCCAAGGCGGCGAAGACCAAGATCTCGCTGAATGCCAGCCGCGATATCCAGCGCGATAGCACCAACTACGAGGGTGCTGATGATCTTGGGGATGATGACTTTATGTGAATGTGAATATGGACGACTAGTCTCCATTTGAATTACCCAGGTGTTTCGCTATTGCTTTTCCCCTGGATTTGATCCTTGAAAATACGCCTCTTAAAAGAAGGCCTCCATCTTTTATTCCCGCCTCACCTATATGCAGCTTTCTGCTCCAATGTTACCCCTTCCATCTTTTTTTTTCTTCTTCCAAACATGGCTCTGTACATCCCCTTCTATCTCAATTGGGGCACAAGTAACCTATAGAAAGACCCAATTCATTCCGATTATCTGATTATTATATGTCCTCACATCAACCATCAACCCTAACCACATCTAACAACCACCACATTACAATTAAAAATCACCCACCAAACCCAATACTCCTAACCACAGACCTTGTCCCCCGACTTTTATTAAGCATCCCAAGCTGTCTAGCCTCCTGCTCGATATCCACAACACTCTGAACAAGACCAATATAACCCTCATCATCCAAAGCAAAAAGCGCCTCCTTGACCCACACGCGACAGCAAAGGCCCTCTCTGAATCGACCCGAGTACAGCGCCAGCGGGACGAGTGCCAGACGTGTCCTCAGTGCGGTGTGCATGACGGGCCCGATGACGCCAATTTTCAGCGCTAGCCCTACTCGCATGTCGCTTGCTATGCTGTACACGACTTCGGTTTTGTATTGCCAGGCTATTGGGCCTGTTTCGTTGGTTATGTGGAAGGTTCGACCGGTTGTGGGTGTTGAGGTGAGGTATAGTTTCCATTCGAAGAGACAGCTGCCGCCTAGATCGAGGAGGAGGATGTAGAGGGTGTTTGGTTCGAGGGAGAGGGGGCGTGGAATTGACATTGAGTCTTTGGGTTATTTGGATTGTATTGGATTGTTCTTTGTTTTTGGATTAAGACTGCTCAAGATGGGGGGCTGGTGTCCTCCACGCCCATTTATAAAGCCCATTTCAAAAAGAAGTGGAATTGACTATATTGCTTTTGCCCCATACATTCTCTTTAGGCTATTTCCCGATAGCATGGAGTCGGATACTCAGGGGACAATCGAGAAAGGTTTACCAGACGAGATTCTAATAACGCATCTGCCCAATCTCGACTTGCATGATAGGGTCTGTATAATAGTGATGTAGCCATGCATACTACATGCGTATGTCACGAACTATGATTCGCTGCCTTGGTCATGTGGCAGTGTCCGAGACACATGTATATAGGAAATCTCCGGGAAAACCTGCATCGGCGTACATACTATGCTTCATCTGCATGCCGAAAATAGACTCACTGGTCTTTTCAGGCTACATGTTCTTCTAACCATCTTCTAGAATGATTGAAACCATGATTGAAACTATCTCTCATCGTTATGCTTTCAAACTTTCTTCTCATCTCCGATTGGAAACAGGTACTGGAAGAGATCGACACCAAGAACGTGCATTCATTTCAGCTATTGCCAAGAACCAAGCAAACAAACAGAACCCCTAAGGGCTCTAATATGCGGCTCTAGGACCAACACAAGTCAAGATCACTGTCCGACGAAAGTTTGATGTCATCAACTGACCCAACATCGGTCGAATTTCTTGACGCGCGGCAATACTAGCCATAGACTCCTCGATTGATTCGACAACGGATGCAGGCATTATGCATCCGGGCTTGCTTCTTCCCACCTCCACGTCTCGTATGAATATGTTTGTCCCCTATCCATCATGATCTCTAAACCACAGTCAACAACTTGCTGGACGAGTCGGAATCCAGGGGAGTGGATCCTAGTGCATGAGTTCGATACTATAAGTGAATCTTCAGGGGTTGATATTATATCTTTTTGAATAAAGGTTCTATGATGAATGCGGGTCTTAAAACGAAGTGCTTTGATATTTACACAGCCCCGACTTAGACATCCCAATACAATCAGGATATAAAACCCATCTAACTCGCCCTAGACGAAAGACCTAGTAATCCCTAAGTGCAAAACTTTGCCAGACATACCCAACGTTTATTACAAAAAGAGAGATATATACAAATACAGGGATCATCTACCAAACCAATCCCAGCACGACAGACCACCTCATCAACCCTCCCCACCATTCGCCAACACTACCGCTTCGCCCTCGTGGCGTCCCCCGCCATCCTATCACCACCATAAGATTGCATCATGCATTACATGCACCACCTGCTCAGGTGTCATATCTAGGAAGTGCCCGGACCCCCTCCGTGGCGCTGGAAACGCGCTGTTTCGATTGGTTGCTCTTGGATGGTGGGACGTATGTTTTGGTTGAGTTCGCTTCGAGGATGAGAGATAGCGGGTTGGGGATTATTAGAGCCTCGTCTTCGGCGATTTTGTTGTCCGGCTTTTAGCTCCGACGAATCGTTCGAGGGATGTTGGTCTCCGATGGTATGGGTTCTATAGATTCGGCGGTTGATGGAATGGCGACTTCCGTGGCGTTTTTTTTGGTTGTTTGGAAATGTCAAACGTGCGAGTGTCTTTGCTTTGAAGGTTGATCGTGTGCTGGTATTTTCTTAGTGAGTAGCTTTCGATGGGTCTACGTTGGTAGTAGTAGGTAGCTTTAAGTATGTAGGGATAGCACCGCCGAGGGAAGACAGTGGGAATTTGGCCAACTTCAAAGGGTTACATGCAAATGCTCATCTGAAGATATTTTGCGTTGTTTGGCTAGATGTGTCAAGGCTCTTGGGAATAATAAACAGGCGAGTCCGTGTAAAGGACTAACTACATACTCATATATCGGCTCATACTTCAGTCATGAATACTGGTAAAAGGGGAATCATTGGCTACGCAAGCAACCCAAGACAGGGTGCATCTCAAGTAAGGAAGCCCGGAGTGGAATGGAAAATAAACACATTGAAACGTGCTGGAGTGGGAATAGAGACAATAAAAGAGAGAGAAATTTCCACTCAGCCCCTTTTCTGCTCGCGTCAACCGAATATCAAACTCCGCCGGCCGACCCACACGGTACCGAAGACGTGCAAGATATCTGCCGGTCCAACCCAGCGCTGCAGTGAAAACAAAGAAGCGACTTGCATAACCACGTCCAGGAATAAATGCGAACGCCCACCCTACCAAACGGCATACGGCTCGTCGCGACCCCTAATGTTGCTCGTTTAGGCTGCAGTCTCGGCGGGCTTAGCCTCCTCGGGCTTCTCCTCGGCGGGAGCAGCGGCCTCGGTAGCAGCGGCGGCAGGAGCAGCAGTCTCTTCCTCGGACTTCTCCTCCTTGGCGACACTCTCGCCCTCATTGCCCTCAGATGAGGTCCAGAGGGTCAGGTTGTCGCGCAGCAGCTGCATGATCAAGGTGCTGTCACGGTAGCTTTCCTCGGAGAGAGAGTCGAGCTCTGCAATAGCATCATCGAATGCCTGCTTGGCAAGGTGGCAAGCACGATCGGGAGAGTTGAGGATCTCGTAGTAGAAGACGGAGAAGTTCAGGGCAAGACCCAGGCGGATAGGGTGAGTGGGGGTGAGTTCGGTCTGGGCAACGTCGGTGGCGTTCTATGACACGATCAACAGCTGTTCATTGCAAATAGAGAGAAAGCTTATATCAATAAGCTGAATGAAGGGATATTTACCTTGTAGGCCTCGTGGGCAGCGGTGGCGGCACCCTTGCGCTTGGGGCCGGAAGCGAACTCGGCGAGGTAGCGGTGGTAATCACCCTTCCTGTTGACAAAGTTAGCACAATGTCACAAATCGAGAAGCCTCCAAAGTAAAGTTGGCTGGAGTGTAACCTACATCTTGTAGTAGAAGACCTTGGACTCTCCAGTCTCGGCCTTGGGGATGAGAGCCTCATCAAGAACATCAAGCACATCCTGGCAAACCTGCTCCAGCTCGGTCTCGATCTTCTGGCGGTAGTCGCGGATGATGCCGACGTGCTCATCGGAGCCCTTGTTTTCCTCCTTCTGCTCGATGGAGGAAATGATGCGCCAGGAGGCACGGCGGGTGCCAACCACGTTCTTGTAGGCGACGGAAAGCAGGTTACGCTCATCGACAGTGAGCTCGCCACCAATCTAAATACGTGTCAATCGCGAATACCCATAAATTAATCCCGAAGGTGATGGGGACATGATGGTGTCATACGTTGGCGACTTCCTGTTCGGCGATTAGCATGGATACCCAGTAAACAACACGAGGGGGTGCGACTAACCTTCATGAAGGTAACCATTTCTAGAGAGCAGAGAACAACATGTCAACATCCACGTCTAACCACATGATCGCAAGTCAACTTACCATCGTAGCGCTCGGCCTGCTCGCAGAGCCGCGCGAGGAACGTCTTGCTGGTGAGGGGGTCAGTCATGGCCGGGTCATGGGACCTCAGGGATAGGGGCGACAATGGACATACTTCTCACGCTGCATAGTTACGATATTTGTTAGCCCAGTTCTTATCGACAAAATTTCCAGATGGGGGTGAGCTCAGATGAGGATGGGAATGTGGGATTGCGATGGCGGTGACAGCTCAAGAGAGCGCCCGATGGAGGGTGAGCAACGTACCTCAGAACCCATTATGAAATTGAATCGAGATGGGTGGTTGGAACTTGAGACTTAAAATTAAAGGGATAGGAAGCGCAAGATGCAGAAGAGGAAGATGGGTAGAGACGACCAAGTGGGGGAGGGAGATGGAGTGAGGTGAGTTGGGGGGATTTGAATCATAACAATAATACACTGTTGTCATGTACCTAGTACTTAGTTCCCCCTATTGTGGCACCGCTTTCTGTAAGTACTCCGGTACTTGGGCCGCAGCCCAGTATTCATTTTACCGTCGATCCCCCTAGTAAGTAATTAATTTGAGCGGGGTGGAGTATATCTGACCGTATCCGTTACCAATTTCCTAAAGCCTCTAAATGTCTCCTATTTAGGAGACACATCAAATATCTAGCATATTATGGGTGCTTGGTTTGATATAGATTGTACATAGACTTCCCTGTGTATCTATGGGATCATAGTTATCTTAGAGACTCCAACCGGTATCGTCACCTCCGAGCTGAAAATAGCTGCAATTTCTAAAGTAGTTCTGGAGGCACCGAGGCAGATAAGCCTCTTTACTGTCTCACTAATCTAGAGAAAGTACCTGGGCATAGTAAAACGATATGGAAGTCTGGGGAGGATGATGATGCAAATGTCTTTGGAACCTTCTAGACAACTAGACCAGTTATGATGTAGTTGATCAGCCGCACAATCAAAACAAGTATCACAAGTATTCCAGGTCAAATAATTCTAAAGTTTGGACATTTCAGGCTTCAAGCATTTAAGTTCTTCCAAATAATAGGCCAGTCTACTTCGCCGAGACTTTCCCATACTATAGGATCGAGCTTGTAGCAAAGGATCAAGGGCGCAAGGGCAAAATCCATCATCGGGCTTGATAAAGGCTTCTGTACTAGGCATTCTGTACTAGGCATTTTACTGCCTACTATCGGTATAATATTCATCTAAGCTTGGTCCAAGTAATCTCAGGAATCATGTATATATGACTTACATTAGGAACTGTGCCAATCATTGAACATTTCTACAGTATTATGCGATTCTATAGTTAATGCTTGGTTTCATATTCAAAAGTCGTCATGTAGCAGTTTGAAGTTACACATAACTATTAATGAGATGATGCCTGAGGTATAAGTTATGTCATTTTAGCACAAATTGAGCATTTCAACTCCTTTCATGGCTTCTAGATAATAAGACCGTCTACTAAATAAAAAAAGTCAACTATATGATTCCAACTTATTGTTTCACATAGTTTTAACGAAAATGTGCCTCCTCAATTTTGTGTCTCAAGGATATAGGGGAAGATCGCCATTGTTGAGGCGATCATGTTCATGATTCCGCGACTAGTGCCCCCCATCTAGTCACCCAAAA